GCACCTTGCATTTCTCTGTGCTGAATGTCATCAGGTTTTGATTCACCTATCTTGTGAGCCTGTGCAGGTCGGCCTGAATTACCAGCCTATCCTCTAGCGTGACTGCACTTCCCCATAATTTGGTGTCATCTGTGAATTTAGCCAGTATGCTTCTGATGCCTAAATCCAGATAATTTATGAACACATCAAAGAGTACTGGTCCGAGTACTGAGCCCTGGGGGATGTCACTGGTCACCATGCGCTATATTGACTCAGTTCCATTGACTATCGCTTTGTGGGTCCGACCACATTGGCCAGCTTCCTCAGCACCCGCAGGTGCATTGTGTCTAACCCCATGGACACATCCAGTTTTTCTAAATAGTCCCCAACATGGTCTTTCTCAACTGTTGGCAGCTTACTTTCTTCCCAAACTGTGCTGCCAGACACAGCAGTCTGGGATTTGGCCTTGCCTTGAAGACTGATGTAAAAAAAGGCATTAAGCACTTCAGCCTTTTCTACATCATCAGTCACTAGGTTGCCTCCCCAGTTCAGAAAGGGGCCCACATTTTCCCTGATCTTCCTCTTATTGCTGACATACTTGTAGACACCCTTCATGTTATCCTTCACTTCCCTTGCTAGCTGCAACTCCAATTGGGCTTTGGCCTCCCTGACTTCATCTCTGCATGCCCGAGCATACTCTTGCACTCCTCCCTAGTCATTTGTCTACATTTCCACTTTTTGTAAGCTTTCTTTTATGTTTTAGCTCACTGAAGAGTTCCCTGCTAAGCCAAACTGGTCTTTTGCCATGCTTGCTAGTCTTCCTGCACATTGGGATGGTTTATTCCTGTGCCCTCAGTAATGTTTCCTCAAAATACAACCAACTCTCCTGGACTCATTTCCCCCTGACTGGCCTCCCTAGGGATCCTGAGCAAGTCAGAATTGCTTTTCTGAAGTCCAATACCTGTACTCTGCTGCTTTCCATCCTTCCTTTCCTCAGGATCCTTAACTCAGTCATTCCATGTCGCTGCTGCCCAAGTTGCCATCCACTACTACATTCTTCACCAATTCATTCCTGTTTGTGAGCAGCCGGTCAAGAAGAGCATGGCCCCTGGTTGGCCGTTTCAGCGCTTGCACCAGGAAAATTTCCTGGATTGCTTGCATGCTGTTGTATGGCCCTCCCAGCAGATGTCAGGGTGATTGAAGTCTCCCATGAGAACCAGGGCCTGTGATTGAGAAGCTTTCACTAGCTGTTTGAAGAAAGCCTCATCCTCTTGTTCTGGTAGTCTATGTAACAGAGCACACGCTGTGCTCTGTTACTCACAGGGGTGTGGGAGCAGCAGACTGGTCTGCAGGTGGCTGCACTTCCAAGCGGGCACAACTGCCTGATTGGGAACAGGGCCTAGCTGTTGGTGATAAAAGCAGGCCCTGAACCATGGAGCCAGCAGTTTGCTGCTAGCAGCCAAGGGGAGAACATCACCCGCCTGGAGCTGCTGCTCATGTAACATCTTGGAGGTACAGGGCAGGAACTATGGGGATGGCAGGAGGTTCCTGGTCCTAGAGCATGACCTAAAACTACACTCCTGGTGTGGTGGAGCTGCCGGTGGCGGGGCAGTCTCCAGGAAATGCCACACCTGTGCCTCTCCAGTGAAGGGTGAGTATGGAGCACCAGAAAGCCTCAGCCCCCACTGCCTTGCAGATTACCCCGTGGAGGAGAAAAGCTAGGGGAGCACACCCCAAGACAAAGCCCATGTTACTGTGTGGAGCCTGAGGTAGGGTCCTGGTCAGGTGAAGGGGCCAGAGATGGCCCGGGTCCACAGCGAGGCCTGAGGCATATAAAGGGAGCTGGGTGTGAGGCTCCAGGGGGGTGGGATTACGGGCCCCAAGAAGGAGCTGGGCGTGAGGCTCCAGAGGCAAGGGATTGAGGCCCAGTGCAAGCAGGGGACTGAGGTCTGGTGTTGGACGGGATGAGGACCATTGTGGGGGCGTGAGGGGACCAAGAGGGTCCCGAACCGGGCAGGGAGCCCGAGCAAAAGGGAGGGTCTGGGAGCCTCGAATGAGTGAGATTGTGAGCCCAGTGTGAGGGCATGGGAGTGAGAGTCCCAACATGAGGTACTGGAGCGTGGGTCTCGGCATGAAGGCACGGGATTATAGGCTGGGTGTTAGGCCATGTAATTTTAGGCCAGGTGTTAGGCCATAGGGCACAGTATAAGGGGAGGTTTGGAGCTGTGTACAGGCCCTTGGCATCAGGGCAAGTAAATGGGCAGTCTCTTGCCCAGTTATCAACTTGCAATTATTTCATCTAAGGCAAGGTAGGCAGCAGTTAGCTCAGAAACAAGTGGGTGGGCCAACAGCTCGACCGGCCCAGGACGTCCACTTGTTACAGTCTGTAGCAGACACCCACCATGACCTTGTTGTTCTCCCCTCTGGCCCTAACCCAGAGGCCCATCAGGCCTATCCCCCATTTCATAGTGGAGCTCGGTAATCATACAGCTCTCTTACATATAGTGCAACTCCTCCTCCTCCTTCTCTCCATGCCTGTCCTTCCTGAACAGTTTGTACCCCCATCCATGACAGTGTCCCACTTACCTCAAGGTTTTGGTCTCCATCCTCTGTCGAACCTAGTTTAAAGCCCTGCTCGCTAGGTTTGTGAGCGCGTCTGTGAAGCTGCTTTTCCCTCTCTTCATCTGCCTTACCTCCTTCTCAACGATTTCATCAGAGAACTGGGAACCAGTTAGGAGGTGCCTTGATTTCACAGCCTGCGGCTCAGAAACTTTTCAGATATTCTAGCATTTCTGAATAGATGGTAAAGCCAAATTTAAGGGTGACCGAGTGGAAAGTAAATTAAGACTCCTCACCAAAATGTTCTTTTCTGATTTGTTCCAATTTAATTTGATTATTTTTATGGGAGGAATCTGCTGACTGCTCTTACAGCCGCTGATGCTTGTTTCTTGTTTGGTGTCTTGACTGTACAGCCTGGGTTGAGGAGCGAGTTCACTACGCAAAATGGTTTGCTGGCTGTGGCTCTATGTTGTTTGATTACGGAGGAATGGAAACTCTCCTTTTGTCTCCTCTACTGCCGTGGCACGGTTCTTGAACAGTTTTTTTTGGGCTGCTGGCAAATGGAATCCAGTGTGTTCTGCACAGAGTTCAAACTTTCTGCCTCTGCAGTTCATCTGGCATATTTTATTTGGGAATCATGGTGGTGGTCTTCAGTCAGTATGAAGGGAGTGGTGGGTGGCTTTGTCCATGCATTAATAGCAGTGGATGGCAGAGGGTTATAATCTTGCACTAATTCAGCAGCACGTTGGCCTTGAGTTTGTGTGGCTTGTTTTCAACTTATCCCAAGTTTCGGTGTCTTTGGGGATATAGAGCAGTTTTGGTTGCTCACTACCTGGCGGGTAGCAGGAAAGGTTCTGTTTTTTTTGTCTGGATGATTTAGTGCATGGACTGGGTAGTGGCATATACACAGCACTTGCAATATTCATTTGTGGACCAAGGAGAATGTATTTCTAGTTTCATGTTTAGGACCAAAAACTAGAATGAAGGATCCCTTGGTTTTCACGAACATCATAAGATTAAGTACTGTTATGTCACTTGCATTGCGTGCGAGGTTGAATCACAGAAGACAGGAATTTGGGGGGTTGCAGTTACAGTGTTGGCTGGTCACTCCAAAATCTTGTAGAAAGTTTTATAGGGTTTCTGCCTAAAAGTCTGTGCACCATTGGGAATGCTAAGATTATCATGTCCTTACTTTGCAGATCACATTAACAGCCTTGCATGTGTTTTTGTTTCTGGGATGAGCTATCTGTTGCATCAGTAATGGTTGAGAATAGAACTACTACTTTGGCATTTTCTGTTGTATTTTGGGGCCAGCCTTTGGTCTGATTAGAATCTTCGCTGGGGACTTACTGTTTTAGGGTAGTGTTGGAGGTGGCATTGAACCATGTCTTGTTGATGCAGTGAGGGCAGATTAGTTTATCAAAAATACGATGATGAATGGTGCCGGCTCTGTTGGTGGTTGACCTTGCATTCAGCAGCAGGAAAATTCAGTTTGTAGATTTATTTCTTTTTCTCTAAATAATGGCTTTATTAATTGGCTTCAGGTATCATGCTTTTGGGTTCACGTGGAGGTCCTGTGATATCTCATCAACTCTGTGATAGGATTTGGGTTGGCACTGGATAAATTGGCTTCTAGATTCTTTGAAGCTACTTCTGTTTGTTCTGTAGATGCCAAGGGTCTGGGAGTTTTGTGCTGTGCTGTTGCTCTGAAGAATGACATGATTTTAAACGCATCTGATTTTAATTATCTACAAATATTAAAATAGGTTTTATTTTGAAATTCTATATCAGTTTTTTCTGTTTTTATTGAATGGACTTTTTTCCCCAATGTGAACAAACAAATAAGGGCTATTATGTTATCCTAAAGGTACTCGGTTCCTCTTGATATTCAAATAAACTATGTATATATTCTACGTTTTTTTTAAATACAAACACAGTTTGAGATATGTAAAAATATATAAAATGATCTGGAAAAACATTTATTGCCGATGTTGAAAACAATATCGCTATCTGCTAAAGTAGATCTAGTTGTCTTTTGATTTAAAATGAATACAGAAAGGCAGTGACTTGTCTATTCCAGTGTTGTGTGTCTAATTTCTTTTATTGTGGTATTCATTTGAATATTAATTATGAAATTACATGGCTCTTTTCAAAGAATACATTTTGTCATAGGCTTCGTTCTTATCCAGTTTTCTGATTGTTTAAAAAGCTGTTTATTTTTAGAATAATCTACTATACTTCAGAATTATTCCTAATTTAAAATGATACAAGATTCTAAAATTAATTAATAAATAGGATATGCAGAGAATCTTCTAATCTGTACTCTTAATATATTTTTTATGGGCACAACAGAAATGTTATGCATTTCTGTATGTGTCAAGTTCCTACTTAAAGCAGTGCAAGTATGCTCATTGTTCTTTAATGTTTATCTCTTTAATATAAACCCTATTTTGCATGCATAGGTGGTTGCTGAACATCCAGATGCTTCAAGTGAGGAGATTGAAGAACTGCTTGAATCGCAGTGGAACATGCTTAGTGAAAAACAGAAAGCTCGCTATAACACAAAGTTTGCCATAGTGACCTCTCCCAAATCTGAAGAAGACTCTGGTAAACGTAAAACTGTGCTAGTGTACTCTAACTAAATTTGATATATACATAGTGGTGTTTAAACTAAGCACATATTTGAAACCT